GCCAAACGGAAGCAATTTCAAACTTTTGTCTATAAAGCTGTGCTTACATAGCACGTCATAACAATCCATGCATATACCTGTTAATAACTCACATCAAAATATATAATGAAACAAAGTTCTGTACATACAGGATCATTCAAGTCATGGTCAACCAATCAAAACTATATACAACCGTAATCCAAAGTTCTCGCTAATATGACAAAATATAACAAAATAGCAAAAGGGCGAAAACAGGTCTCGTGCGTGAGACGTATGGGCTGACTCATCAAAACCTTGACTGTTCCTCACATACTTCACTGAGGCTGGGTTTGGACCTCCCTTGGCTCACCTACAGACACATGAATGAGCGTGAGCGAAAGCCCAGTGAATAATATCGAATAAAGAAGATACATGAACGATATTTATAACAACATACATCAGACGGCCTTAGGCCCAATTCATATTTTTATCTAGTGCATATACACATATATATAGGTTAAGTGACTGCGGTTCCAAACACATCAAACGGTCTCGGGCCCAATTCATTCATATCCGACGGCCTTTAGCCCAACCATTCCTGTCCAACGCCCTTTGGCCCAATCATATGTGTCAACGGCCTTTGGCCCATTCATTCATGTCATACGGCTTTTGGCCTATTCATTAATGTCAGACGGCCTTCGGCCCATTCATTAATGTCAGACGGCCTTCGGTCCATTCGTTCATGTCATACAGCCTTTGGCCCATTCATTCATGTCAGACGACCTTCGGCCCTTTCATTCATGTCAGATGGCCTTTGGCCCATTCATTCGTGTCAGACAGCCTTTGGCCCATCCAATTGTATCCAACGGCCTTTGGCCCAATTCATTCGGCATAACAGATATTTCCCCAATTCAATTTAACAAACTTATAAGACTTACATGAAAGTAAGCAATTGGACAATTAACATACTTCAGATATCTTTATTTAAGATATTACTCACAGTGATCTGCCGGTGGATTTACCCTTGAGCTCAACCCTACACATTACATAACACACATGGGTCACAAACGATTCAATCCGTTCTTAATTCATATATCCCTCTTAGGCTTCTTTCTTATTCTTTTAATTCATTCATAATGCTCAATGCATGCCTAAGAGTAGTTAGAAGTGAAAGAGAACGGAAAATGAAACACAGAACACCTTTACAAATTTTCTGAAACAGGGGTCCCCGCTCGAGCGTAGTTTCCCCCGCTTGAGCAGACCCGTGGGTCTGCAAAAATACTGGTTGCCTCATTTTTACGCTCAAGCGTGACTTCGGACGCTCGAGCTGAAAATCATTCTATGTAGCTCCCCGCTCGAGCGTGAACTTCCCCGCTCGAGCGGACATCAATGTCTGCAAAAAGTTCTGAGAGCTCGCATTTCACGCTCGAGCGGCTCTTTCCCCGCTCGAGCGGACATTCGAAATTCTGGGTTTTCCAGCAACCATGTTGAGCTTCAAACAAGTATCCAAATTATCATATCTTGCATTTTGTGACTCATAGTCCTCATATACATCTACTAACATGATACAACACTAAATTCATTACATTATGAAGCTCAATTTCATGAATTAATCACATGCATGCCCCAAATTACACCAAACTTATTTCCAACATTACAATTTCATGTATATCAAACTCATACTCTTATGAATTGTACATGCATGTGAGATATAGCCCTCATTCTCAATTTAAATGATGAAGACATGATTAAAAACATAAACTTCAATCAAAGATTCAACATGGATCATGCATATCAAGCTCAAACATACAAATTCATGGCAATTTCCTACATGCATGCATTCTTTGACTTCAATTCATCAATTACAACACAATTCTTGTTCTTGATCACATATCCTCTTTGAATTTACATGATTGCAAGCTCAAACCCATGAATTAAGGGTTGATTACTCACCTAGAGGCTCAAATCTTCCAATTTATGCTTAATTCTTGAGTGTAGTTTCAAGATCACCAAGTTCCTTAGCCAAATCTTTATCTTGAGCTCCATCTCTCTCTAAATCCGGCCCTTCTCTCTCTCTAGAGTATAATTTTCAGATTTGAGCACAAAACAATGCATATAAGTGTAATAGAGTCCCTTTTTATATGAGCTCCCATAATCACAATTAGTTAGCACTAATTACTTGGGCACTATTTCATCAATTTTCAATTAAATTTCATCATAGGTTCTAAAAATTACGCTAATCACAATGGCGTAGTCAATTTCGGTTTCTGTGGCCGATAAGGCCTTCAATTTTCAGTTTACAATAGTAAGTTGAACAGATAGAAATTCAAAACCACATATATTCATATAAATGGCACCCAGAATCACATCAAACATATAATCATATTCGTAATTAAGACTAATTAGTATAATACGGAGCAGGGTTATCGCACATACTAAATTAAGTCTTTAAAGCATTCACAATAGAGTGACTAAAAATGTGTGTTAAATTGTGTTATATAATGAAAAGTGATAAAAGTAATACTAAAAAATGTGTGTTAAAAGTTTATTAATTTAGTGAGTGAATGGTGATACAATGGATGTGTTAAGGTGTGTGTTAAGAACATATATATAAACAACAAATAAAATAAATAAATAATTTAAAAGGGCAATGGACCCCACCCCACTGCACTGTCCCCCTCTCTCTCTTCCCTCCCTCTCCCTTCTCTCTCTCTCTCTCTCTCTCTCTCTCTTTCTCTTTCCTCCCCCCCCCTCTCTCTCTCAGCTAGCCAAACCACTTGTTAACTGTGGCCTACCCATTAACATCTGACACTAATGTGCTGCACTGGTCAACCCATTAATAACACCATTGGAGTTCAAAATAAGAGTTTCAGTAGCTAAATTTTTAACCGTTGACACTAACACATTCACTAATGGATTCATTGCTGATGCTCCTACAATCTGAACAAGTTTTTTAAAATAAATTTATTTCCTGCGTCTGTAACCGCAATAATTTTGCTAACTTACGCGCACCAAATTAAGTCCCTACGGCTTCCATTTAACTAACAACTCCTGGCTAGTTTGTGCACCAGATTAAATCTCTACAGCCCATAGAAACTTTTCAAAATAGATTTATTTCCTACGATCAGGGATGTAAATTTGGCCAAGCCCGGCCCATGTCGGGCCTCACAGGCTCTAGCCAAAATTTGGGTCAAACCACGGGCCAAAAAATTAGGCCCGGGCCAAGCCCAAGCCTAGGAATCATTCAAGCCATGGGCGGGCCAGGCCGATGGGGCTCGGCCTAGGCTCGAGCTTGGGCTAGGCTTAGGCAGGCCTAAACATTTTTTTTATTTTTTATTTTTTCCACCAAAATTTTATTATTTTCCATTAAAAATGACATTGGGCTTTGGGTGGGTTGGGCCTTAGGGCAGGCTTTGAGTGAACCTTGAGCGAGCCGATGGGCCAGGCCTTGAGCAGGCCGATGGGCCTGGCTGGGCTTCAAAACGACGACCCAAGCTCAGGCCCAGGGTCTCGGGCTAGGTCGGGCTTAGGCTGCTCATGGGCCGCGGGCCATTTTTACACTCCTACCTACGGTCCACAACCGCAAAAATTTTACTGACAAAAAGAATTGAGTCTGAGACCTTAAAGGGAACAAACTTTCAAATCTTAAGTCTCAAGTCTCATCTACCGGACTAAACCTTCGGTCAATTTTACCCTACGTCCCAATTTGTTTGTCCATTTTAGGAAATCCAACTTATTACGGAGATATGCAATCATTATATTTAATTCAAATTTTGAAATATTTTTACCACCACTACCTTTCTATTTGAATTTTAAAATGAGTTTATAATGATTTATAGTGGATAATTTTAGAAATCTAACAAAATTTAGAGTCCGTTTGGTTTAGTTTTAGAGTAATGATTTGAGTGTGGGATTGTGTTTTGAATTTTGAGTTTTTGAAATATAATTTAAAAAGAGAAAATTTATTTGGTTATGAGTTTTGAAAATAATTTTGAGATGATTTGTGATTTTTTTTTTTTTTGATTGATTAATGTATAGAATATGAGAGAATATGAGGGGAGAGAGAAGAGATGAGAGAGAAAAAATGATTGATTAATTAATAATAATAATAATAATAATAATAATAATAATAATAATAATAATAATAATAATAATAATAATAAAATAGAGAATGAGAGAGGGGAGAAAAAAAAAATTAAGTTTTAAGTTGTATTTTAAAAGTTTGTTAACCAAACAAACTTTTTTATTTTTTTGATCCAAATCATGTTTTGAAAACTAAACCAAAATTTCTAGGTACCACAACGAGAAACTTAATTTTAAAAATTTCCAAAATTGCATTGTAACCGTGTTAGGAGTTGATAATAGGATCAAAAGTGGGAAAGGAATAATAGTTTAGGGCTTTGAGGATCAAAGTGAGAAATAACCCATGTTTTAGGATTGTGTTTAGATCATGGATTTGAAGAGATAATAAGGAATAAGTGAATGAAATGTAACTATATTTCATTCGCATCTTACTCGTCTTTTCTGTTTTGTTTTTCAAATTTTTATTCAAATCAATGATCTAAACACAGCTTAAACGTGAAAGTGTAATTCTACCCTTTCGAAGATTTTGTGAGATAAACTACAACCCTTTTTTCGGGCAGAAGGAAGAAGTCAAAATTTGATGAAAGAAAGTGAGTACAGAGTAGGCATTTTACACATCACCAATAATAAAAGAAGCCACAGGAAAATTGCCTTAAAACTGATAGCAACCCTGCTGCACCAAGAAATCCCCCACCACCCTACTAAAAAAAAAGTGAAAAAGTAAAAAATTATCAAAATTGAATGTTGGCAACTAAGAAAAATATCAAAGGTACCAGAGGAAAACCTTGAAAGCCAAGAAAAGTTAGGGGAAAAAAAAAAAAAAAAAACACGTGGGGAAACACGAAAACACACACTCATTCAACACACACTCAGTGGTTCTTGTCCGAACCCACCCTAGATGGCGACCCAATACCGCCGGCGACCCAGCCTACCCAGTCTCCACGCCGTTGCAAGGACCGATGACGGTGAAACCACAGGTCAGCTCTCTGTAAATCAGAGGTTTGCCAAATTTATGATTAACTAGTACTCTATTTTTTTCCCCTTAACTGTTCTTCTTAACAGTGGATCAAATACGTAACTTCATTTGTGTTTGTATAAAATTCTTTAGTTTTCGGCCATAATCTTTAAAAAAAATTTATAATTAATTTTCATTTTTGGGTTTTTGTGGGTTTTTTCTGATTTTTCGTCAGTAGTTCATTCTTGAAGCTGTAATTTATTTAGAAGCTGTAGTTCGTTCTTGATTTTTCAGTCATGTGAACAGATATCACTAATTTATTTAATCACTAATTTAGAGATATCACTAATTTAGAAGTTGTAGTTCAGTCATGTGAACAGATATCACTCACTAATTTATTTAATCAGTCATGTGATTTTTCGTCAGTAGTTCATTCTTGAAGCTGTAGTTCATTACTGGAATGTGATGAATTTTTTAGAAATCAATTTGTCTCAGTCTCAGTCTCAGTCTCAGTCTCAGTCTCAGTTTAGAAATCAATTTTTTTTTAAATGGATGATCTGAAATTTATGGATGATCTGTTGTTCAACTGATTCAAAAATGGATGCTCTGTTGTTCAGTACCGTGGAGGCAAATTAGACCAAAAATATGTTTCTAAATTACAAATCTATTATATATCATCTACTCGAATCAGTTTGAACATTATTCTGCCTATGTTCATTATTCTGCCTATGTCCATTATAATGTATTATATATGTCCATTATATATCCATTATATATCCATCATAGATGATCTGTTGTTGTATGTTTCTAAAATGGATGATATATAATGGATACTGTTGCGAAGATGCATTATTCTGCCTATGTTGAGATTTTATTTATGTAGCTAAGATTTTATTTTTATGGGTTTTCAGTTGCATTTTCATATGGATATGGAACCTGAGAATGATTGTGCTTGGAAGCCAAAACAGGGAATGACATTCGATTCTGAACAATGTGTGTATGATTTTTATAATACATATGGAGGAAGAATGTGGTTTAGCATAAGAAGGGATTTTTGTAGGAAGAACAAGTTCACTAACCAACTTATTTGTAGACTTTTGGTTTGCAACAATGAGGGATTTCGGAAGGGTGACAAACGAGACCCATCGTCAAAAAACCCTAGAGCTGAAACTAGGACCGGTTGTGAGGCTCGACTTTATGTCAAATTAGATGAGGGTACTGGGAAATATGTTGTGACTGATTTCAAAGAAAAACACAACCATGATCTTGTATCACCCGAGTGTGCCCACATGTTGTCGTCACAAAGAAAGATATCGACTACCCAAGCAATTGAGTTAGATTTGGCGGCACAATCTGGTCTTCGTTGAGGCCAGTCTTTTGAACTCATGGGTAGGGAAGCTGGTGGGAGGCAATGTCTTGGGTTTACAAAATTAGATCAAAAAAATTATTTGAGAACCAAAAGACAACAAAGTTTAGCATATGAGGAAGTAGGCAATGTGTTGCAATACTTTAAAGAAAATTTTTTGCAGAATCCTTCCTTCTTTTATGCTTTCCAGTTAGATAATGAAGAGCAAATAACGAATATGTTTTGGGCTAATGCACAAATGATCATGGATTATGCCCAATTTGGTGATGTTGTCACTTTTGATACTACTACAAGTTAAACAAAGAACATAGACCCTTCGCGTCTTTTGTGGGATTCAACCATCAGAAGGAAATAGTTATATTTGGTGCAGCCTTGTTGTATGATGAGACCGCCGAATCATTTGAATGGTTGTTTCAAAATTTTGTAGAGGCCATGTCAGGAAAGGCACCAAAAAAGTTGTTCACTGATCAAGATGCTACAATGGCTAAAGCCATACCCATCATTATGCCTGACACAACTCACCGATTGTGTACTTGGCATTTGATGCAAAATGCATTAAAACATGTTAATTGTTTGTTCCAAGATAAAGGGGTAAAAGGTATACTAAATAAGTTCTTCTTTCACATTGAAGATACAAATCAATGGAAGTTAGAGTGGGCGGAAATGCTTGATAAATATGATGCGCATGAAAACCATTGGTTGAAATTGACTTTTGCGATGAAAGAAAAATGGGGCTGGCCATATGTTAGATCAACATGGGCTGCGGAAATGAGTACCACACAACTCAGTGAATCTTTTAATGCTTTTTTGAAGGATTACATTCGTTCTGATTTTAACTTAAATGAATTCTTCATGCATTTCGAAAGGGTGCTTTACGAGAAGCGATACAAGGAGTTAGAAGTAGGATATGCTTTGTGCCAAAGGTTACCAAAGGTGAAAGCAGAAGTCAGAATGTTAATTCAAATGGGTAATGTTTACACAAAAAATATATTTGAGGAATTTCAAAATGAGTACTTTCGATCCATTGAATCGGACATAGAAGCAATTGAATATTGCGAGGCTAGTACCATTTACACAGTTGTTGATGTTGGTAACAAACATGCAAGGAAAGTGAAGATGGAAAGGGATGGCTCATTGGGTTGTAATTTTACAAAGTTTGAAAGGGAAGGAATCTTGTGTTGTCACTCATTGAAGGTTATTAGAGACATATTGAAGATGAAAGAGGTTCCTCCACAATACATTCTAAAGAGGTGGACCAAACAAGCAAGAGCCGAAACTGTGAAGGACATTAAGGGGAATGACATTCAAGGGGATGTGAAATTGCAACAAGCCTCGCGGTAAAAGACATTGATGACCACATTTAGAGCACTAGCAAGTAGAGCTGCTGAAACTGAAGAAACTTATGAGTTTTGTATTGCACACCTTGCTACATTAGGTGCAAATGTTGAAGGCAAGTTAGGTACTCATTTTGGTGTTGAAAATGAAGTAATTAATGATGATGACACCCAAAGCGTTGAAGTGGAAGGAGAAGATGTGAATCATGTTGTGTAACCAAAAGGGTTGAAGAAAAAAGTGGCAACTCGTAAGGGCAAAAGGAGGGTCAAAGGTGGATTCAAAGCGGTGTTGGTAGCGAACTCCAAAAAAAAATCTCGTGCTAACAGTTTGGCTTCGTCACAATCTATTGCAAGTCCAACAATTGCACCTTCTACATTATCTGTTGGAGGAGATATCTATGTTCGGCAACATGTTCCTCCTCTTCAACCTCTTCCTTCCATTCATCCTCTTCCTCCATCTTTGCCCATAGGTGGTAATTCTATTCCTCCACCATATATGTACCCCACATATCATGTAAGTGTTAGTACAATTTAGGTGCTCATTTTTTTGTGGATATAATATGTGACTGAAACCATGATTGCGAAGCGTAATATATGACATTGTTGTAGGCAAACAATTTGCAAGAGATGTATGTACTGCAAAATTCTGTGCCAAATCCAATGCCTCAACGGTATTCTTGTCAACCAACATTCCAGTCACTACTTCAAGGTTCATGTGGATATGACATTGGGTTTCGATATTCTCAAGAGTCAAACAGTCCAATGTGTAGTCAGGTTCGTCCTCTCTGTATTTTTATTTTGTAGTTGATGAAAATTGTGGCTATTTCATTTTACAAATTTCTATGTCAAGTATGTATGTAGTTGCTGAAAATTGTGCAAAATTCTGTGTTTTTCCATTTTAGGCTATGGACAACTTGAAAGACAAGCAAACTGAAGCTGAAATTCGCCTGGAAAATGAAGTCATAGCTGCTCAATGTGAAGCAGAAAGACAAGCAAACTGTGTTCAAACTGTGAAGCAAACTCTGTGTACCTGTGTTTCGAAATGTTAATGGCTTGTATGTTAATGGCTTGTACGTGTGGACCAATGTGTTAATTTTGATGGACCAATGTGAGCATAACATGTTGAATCTTGCCAAATGCCTCAATGGCTTGTATGCTAATCATGTTAATTTATAGTTCATGTTAATGGCTTTTTCATTTGTTAGAAATTTTATTCTAGCTTTTTCATTTTTTACTAGACATTTGATGATGTTAATCTACAGTTCTGTTGTGGTGTTAATCTACACTTCTGTTTCTGTTCTGTGCTGCTGTCCCAGCTTTTTTATTTTTTAAATTATCCCATCTGCTGTCCATGTTTGTATTGGGTCTGGTATGCTGGTTCTGTTCTGTTCTGCTATGCTGGTTTGTACTGCTTCTGTTATACTGGTTCTAGTTTGCTGGAATGGTTCATGCTTCAGCTTCATACTGGTTTGCTGGAATGGTTCATGGTTCATGCTTCTGCTATACTGGTTCTGTTTCTGCTATACTACTTTTGTTATCTGGTAAATGGTTCATGCTTCAGCTTCAGCTTCATACTCAGAGCCAGAACATGGTAACATGATAATGCTAATGCTGGTAACAGATATACTGGAAACAGAACATCATGCTGCTAATGCTGGATCTGCTGCTGCCATACTCACAATTCATTGATAACAGATAACAGATATACTGGTCCTGGTCATTGATAACAGATAACAGATATACTGGCCCTGGTCATTGATATACTGGTCATACTTAGAATTCATTGAACATGATCTGTTGCTGCCATACTTAGAATTCATTGAATTAATATACTAGTCCTGGATCTACTGCTGCCATACTTAGAATTCATGGAACATGATCTGCTGCTGCCATACTTAGAATTCATGGAACATGATCTGCTGCTGCCATATACTGGTAACACATAAACTGGTCCTGGTCTGGATCTGTTGTTAAAGCAAAATTCCATTCATTCATTCCAAAATTCCATCATTCATTCATTCATTCCAAAATTCCATCATTCATTCATTCATTCCAAAATTCCATTCATTCATTCGAAAATTCCATCATTCATTCATTCATTCCAAAATGTGCCATACTTCATTCCATCAGTGAAGGCAAAATTCATTCCATCATTCATTCCAAAGGTTAGGCCACAAGTTGAGGGAAATAGATAATAGATAATTCATTCCATAGTTAATTCCACAGTTCATTCCATAGTTCATTCCATAATAGATAATAGATAACAAGTTGATGTACATACAACCCAAAATGCTACAAACTTCCATTCAGTTTCCCAAAATACAATAAAGTACTTCAAGTTACATCATAAAGTAGAAAATGGTAGAAAATGCAATGAAGTACACCATCGCTTTGATATTCCTTTCCATCCTTTGAAGCCTTCGACCATAGTCCGTTTCCATGTAATCAAGCCTCGTCCTTACATCGTTAAAGTCTTCTACTGTTATACCATCACAAGCTGTACAGTTCGAACGGATTCTGGACATAACGTTTTCATCATCTTCATCCACGAACTTGAAGTAATTGCAATGGGGAGTGGGAGTGTTACTCTGCAATGCATGAGAATAAGTTAGTTGAATAACACAAATATTAATGTGACAACTAAAGGAAGAAAATAGCTAGAATTACAAACTTACATATCTTGATGGGCAAACAAAGAACAAACGCCTTTCATTTCCATTTTCATTAGTTTTTACAATACGTATGGCAGCGGTTCTTCCACAATTGCACAGCCTCGATAGTAATCTTATGTTGCTAATGTTAGAAGAAGAAGCCATTTTTTAAATCTGCATACATGAGAACTTTTTTAAATGGCAAATACCCCCTTTTTTATATTGCATACATGAGAACTTTTATGTTGCTAGGAAAATACATGGAATTCTGGAAAATACATGAGAACTTTTATGTTCCTAGGAAAATACATGACAACTTTTATGTTACTAAGTTCTTTTCTTATACATGAGAATTCCATGAGAAATGAGAACAAAATAAGCCACGGTGAATGAAATTTGTATTGCAGTATGTTGCATTCTTAAATTTTGAATTTTGTCTTTTAATAATTTATTGTTCATTCAAACTTTTAACATGGAACTATGCACATATAAAAAAAAGATAGATAGATAATTAAATTAGTTCAGTTGGTAGAGTAGTTGCTCCTTTACTATGATGGTCTTGTGTTTAAGTGATTATAAGGCATCTGGTTTTGACAATCCTTACGTAAACTACTGATACCTTGACAATCTCAACTCAAACAATCACTAGGCTGTTTGGGGAGTGGCTAGTATACCCAAAAAGATAAAAAGTAACTACTAAAAAGTTAACCAATCTCTCTACTTTTCTACACATCTTTTCAACTAAAATAACCAATTTCCAAACGATCGCAACCACTTACTACTTATTCACCCACATAACTTCATAAACACTGTAATTCTCAAATTGTTCAAACACTAAAAAATCTATGGCATAAACTGCAGTCAAAGTCTTTACAATCAAAACATTCACAAACAGTCAAGAATTAAATTATGGGGGAATTGCAAATCAGTGGTAAGCAATGAAAGTAATTGCAAAAACATGGGGGTCTGTACTTAATTCTTCCACAGATTTACAATACCCCTTAAATTATTGTTTCAATAATTTCATGAGAACTTTTATGGAATTACAATACCCCTTAAATTATGGAATTCCATGACAACTTTTATGTTACTAACATAAAACTTTTATGTTCTCATTTCTCATGGAAATACTTTTATGTTGCTAGGAAAATATAGGGAATTCTGGAAAATACATGAAAATAAACAGAATTCTGGAATATAAGAAAAGAACTTAGTATAATTTCCTATATGGAATTCTGGAATCAAACAAATGCATATAATGTTGTACATATTAGTTACTGTCGAAGCCCTAATTTTTGTAAAGGTAAATAGATGATTACAGATTAAAATTTCAATCTCAATCCTAATTTTTGTAAAGGTAAATAGATGATTACTGTGAAGCCCTAATTTCAATCTCAAGCCCTAATTTCTATTTACCTTTTCATCTATTTATCTCAAGCCCTAGTAATCATCTATTTACCTTTTCAATCTCAAGCCCTAATTTCTTTCACAGTGAAAGCCCAAATTTTTGTCACAGTCGAAGCCCTAAATTCACACTGAAATCCCTAATTTTCAAATTTCAATCTCAATCACACAATCCTAAGAAGATAATTTCAAAGTTTCGAATACAAACCTGGTTCCTCATGAACAAATTTTTGTCACAGCCGATGGTGGTCACGGTGGAGCTATGGTTCACGAAGCAGCAAATATTACAGCTGGAGTGGATCGCCGGTGCCGTCTGGGGGACTGGTCGTCACCGGTGCCGTCTAGGGGACTACTCGCCGGTGAGGGTGGGTTCGATGGAGGAGATCTGAACTCGTGCAAGACTGAGTGATATAACTAGCAACGGGCGGGATTTGAGTGAAATTTTGAATTTTTTTTTTTTTTTTAATCTCAGCCGTTGGATGTGCAACGACTAATCTCAGCCGTTGCAAGGACGCTCGCAAATACGACGAGGATCTGAACTCCCAAATGTCTTCCTTCTATAAAAACGCGTCTGTAGTACGATTTTGATCCATCAATCGCACTCATTTTGCTTTCCCACTTTCTTTCTTTTTGTCTTTTCCAATCATTTGCTCCTTTTCACCTTTCTTTTCCCACCACAATTTTCACTTGCTCCATTGGAATACTATTTTGATTTCTCCTTTGTTTTTTCCCATCATTTTCTCCTTTGTTTTATTTTGATTTCTTCCCTTCCATGTTTTCATTTCTCAATATTTTCTTGAAAAGCAATTAACAAAAATAATTTTTATATAAAAAATTTATATCTAAAATGATGTTGTCATAAATTTTTTTAATTATAAATCACATTAATAAATATTTTGATTTTTATTTTTTTCTACAAAATAAAATGCTAATCGATTAATAAATTAAATTACAAAAAAATCGCATTCCCCCAATCGATTCAAATATTGAACCTCAAGCTTTCCCAATCTCAAACCAACAGTTATATAGCCCACTAGAAATAATTGTAAAATTTGTTTATTTGTATAAAATACTCAAATTTTTATTTTATTTTAGAACTTAAGAATTAAATAATATCCTACCCTTGACTCAGAGCATTCAATTGTCCCTTCAGTTTTTATTTTTCCCTGCGAGCGAAGAGAGAGAGAGAGAGAATGGCACAAAGTGCAGTGGCCTTCTTGCTTACAAAGCTTGGAAGCTTGATTGAAGAAGAGCTAAAATCGTTGGGTGGAGTCAAGGGAGAAATTGTGTTCATCAGAGACGAGCTTCAGAGCATGAGTGCCTTCCTGAGGGTTGCTGATGCAATTGAAGACACTGATCCAGAGATCCAAGCATGGGTTAACCAAGTCAGAGAAGTCGCTAACGACACCGACGACGTTCTTGATGAATTTATGCTTCGCTTTGCTCATCGTCATCGTCATCATCGTGGATTCTATGGATCTGTTTGTAAGTTCTATTATCAAATTAAGAACCTGAAAGCTCGTCGTCAAATTGCTTCTGATATACAGGACATCAAAGCCAGGGTCATCGATATTGCACAGAGACGTCAGAGGTATGGTTACAAATTCAGTACCTCAGAGCAAGCCTCGAGCTCCAATGTGGCAAACAATGGCGGATGTTATGATCGAAGAGGTGATGCATTTCTACTTGAAGAAGGTGATCTCGTTGGCATCGACAATCCCAAACAACAACTCATTGATTGGGTCCTTGATGATGCTGATTCTCGACTTAAAGTGATTTCGGTGGTGGGAATGGGTGGCTTGGGTAAAACCACCCTCATCAAGAAAGTTTATGACGACATAGAAGGGAAGAGACTTTTTCAAAACCACGGTTGGATCACTGTTTCTCAATCATTTAAGATTGAAGAGCTTCTAAAAGATTTGATTCAACAACTCTTTGACGAAGTCAGACAACCTCTCCCTCAGAGGTTCGAAACCATGGACAACAATAAGCTAAAAGCAGTGCTCAAAGAATTCCTCCGAGAAAGCAGGTACATGATCGTCCTCGATGATATTTGGAGCATAGATGCATGGGATGCGATCAAAATTGCATTGCCAAACCGCAACTGTGGCAGCCGTGTGCTACTCACAACACGTATCGGTAAGGTCGCTTCTACTTCTTGTAATGAATCCCATGGTTACATCTATAAAATGAAAGCTTTGTCTCCAAAAGAGTCTTGGACTCTGTTTTGTAAGAAGACATTTCAGGAGAAGGATTGCCCTCCACAATTAATTGAAATTTCAAAAAGTATCCTGCGAAGATGTGAGGGCCTGCCACTGGCGATTGTGGTGATTTCTGGGGTGTTGGTTTCAAAGGACCACGGAAGAGTAGATGAGTGGGAGTTGGTGAATCGCAGTCTTGGTGCTGAAGTTGAAGGCAGTGATATGAAGAAAATATTGTTGCTAAGTTACAATGATTTGCCTTACTATCTCAAGTCTTGTCTCTTGTACTTGAGTAGTTTCCCAGAGGATCATTTGATCGATTGGATGAGCACGATTCGATTGTGGATGGCAGAAGGATTTGTGGAAGTTAAAGAATCTGGAAAGACACCAGAGGAAGTTGCAGAGGCATACCTCTATGAGCTTCTTAATAGAAGCTTGATTCAAGTAGCAGGACGCAAGTTTGAAAGGATTAGAAGTTGTCGTATACATGACCTTTTGCGTGAAATTATTCTTTCAAAGTCAAGAGATCATAACTTTCTAACGATAGCAAGAGAGAGAAGCATGAGGTGTCCTGAAAAAGCTCGACGGCTATCTATTCATAATACCTTACCAGATATACCAGAACAAGGTAAGTGCTTCTCTCAACTACGTTCTTTGCTTATGTTTGGGGTAGATGAACCCATGTCTGAGTCCTCCATGCCTCTATTGTTCAATGGTGGGTTGAGGTTGTTAAAAGTTCTACACTTGAGAAATGCTTCTTTGGAGAGAGTTCCAGGCCATGTGGTCAAGTTGTTCCATCTAAAGTATCTAAGCTTGAGAGGAACAAATGTGAAAGTGCTTCCAAAGTCGATTGGATTGCTTTGGAACCTGGAGACATTAGATCTTAAAAACACGCATGTGAGGGAGTTGCCCGTTGAAATTGTAAGGCTCCAAAAGTTGCGCCATCTTTTGTTATATCGTCAGGAAACTGAGCATATTCATATTCCATTTCACAACAAACATGGCTTTGAGGCGCCATCTAAGATAGGAGACCTACAATCCTTACAAAAGTTGTGCTTCTTAGAGGCAAACCATGTCAACGGTAGTGCCATCGTGGAAGTGATAGGAAGGCTCTCCCAATTAAGGAGGTTGGGAATTTTGAAGTTGAGAAAAGAAGATGGAGTGGGTTTGTGCTCATCCATTGAGAAGCTAAGCAACCTTCACTCATTAGATGTAACTTCAATAGAAGAGGATGAGATCCTTGATCTACAATCTTTATCTCCAGCTCCTCAATTTCTTCAACGACTATACTTGAAGGGACGTTTAGAGAAGTTGCCGCAGTGGATAACTTCCCTTCAGGGTCTCACACGCTTATGTTTGTGGTGGAGCAAGTTAAGAAATGATCCACTGAGATCCCTTCAAGATTTGCCCAATCTGGTTCTTCTCACACTTGTTAATGACGCATATGAGGGGGAGGGATTGTGTTTCAAGGCTGGTAGATTTCAAAGACTCAAGCATTTAGTCCTTCACAGATTAAAAGGATTGAGATGGTTGACAATGGAGGAAGGTACGATGTCTCAACTTAACGATCTATGGTTCTGGGATTGTAAATTGTTGGAAGAGTTGCCCTCAGGTATTGAACATCTATCAAATCTTAAAAAGCTTGAACTGACTGACATGCCTGATGAATTAATTTCGAAGTTGAATCCACGCATACAAGATGGGAATTATTGGAAAATAGAACACATCCCAAAAGTACGGATTTATGACACAAAAGAGGGTTATTGGAAAAGAAGATTTCTCTAATGAGAGAAAGGAAATTTTTTTTTTTTTAAATGTTTAATTTACTAAATTGGATCATTATCACGTTTAGTGCCGTTTCTTTTTCATGTTCATGTTCTTGTTATTTTATTTATTTATTGAATTTCTTACCGTGATTTAGAATTTCTCATTTTGTATCTCTTTTTTATTTATTTATATTTTGACGGCTTGCAAATCTATTATGTAACCTTAATTGATCTCTAAAGAATTATAGAAGCTTTATTAAATTCAAATTTAGAATTGCAATTGTTTATTTTGCAATTTTAATTATTTTAATTTATATCTACACAAGTTAAACAGATCTCAAACGTAATGTGATTTTCATTAGTTTTATGATTTCTATGAATTTTCGTGTTTAAGCGTTTTTAAGCGGCTAAATTCAAATTTCGTGTTGAATTCATGGACTTTTGAGTGGATTTGTATGTGTTTGCCACAAGGACTATATTAACACATTTAGGCTATGTTTGTTTTGGCTAAAGACAAAATTAAGATAATAAAAGTACATTAGTACCTAAAAATAATTAAATAATTACACACCTTTAAACATTTATTACGATGCTCTTAGAGCATTTTTTTAGTGTAATTTTTTTAAACAAATAAAAAATAAATAAAGATTTACGCTCTAAAAAAAATTATTTTTGTTTGGTTATTCTTACAAAAATGAATAGAGATACAAGTGTTACTTGAATACTTATGTATAATAAATTTAGCAAAATTATTTATTTATTTTGATAATTTTAGCTTTATTGTACTATAAAATTGTAATTATCATATAATGATTTTATATGATATATATTAAATTATAAGATAATAAAATAAACACTCATTTTGATATTAAAAATAATAATTAAACTAGAAAGAGAATTAGTAATATAAAATTAAAAGTGATTTTAATTATTTGCTTTTATTTATATTTTATATTTATTTGAAAAATAAAAATATGCCAAAATAGAACTACATAAGATTTATTTAAAAGATTAAATATAAATATATTGTAATTGGATTAAGAAAATAATACATAAATTAATTATGTAGAAATATTTTTTTTGAATTATTCATACATATTGTATAGGGAAAATTAGTAAAGTATCCCTTTCCAACTTTGTGTAGTAGGAGAGGTCCAAGATATTTTTTTTTTATTAGCTAAGATCCCTCAACATTTTATAGAGAAAATTTGACTTAGAGAAAATTAAAATTTCTTTGAGTCGGGGCCAAATTTCTTTACATCAAGCAAAATTTCTTTGAGTCAAATTTTCTTTGTGAAAATGTTGAGGGGCCTTAACTATTATGAAAATATTATATGTCATTTATCTTATAAAATCTTAATATCAGAGATCTTAAAAAAAAAACTCTCCTACTGTATATAGGTATATAAAATTGAAATTAAATATAAATATTTTGTAATAAGTAATTTCATGGTAAATAAAAATTAAATAAAAATATCAATTATATAAAAAAAAATTGACAATGACAAAACTATATAAATGTTTTGTAATAAATAATTTCATATTAA